AAACAAACAGATAGCAATAGTCCTTTGGCCAATTTTATTTCGACATTTCATCATTTTACAAGAATAGTGCTGGTTTTGTTTATTAATAAGAAAAAACTAGCAATAATGAAGTGAAATGCGTTTATCTATCTATTTTAAATCTATATATGTATCTAAATTTTACGACGGCTTTTGTGCTAATATTTACAGGCACTGTTGATTTCAATAATCGCATCCTGAGTTATGCCCGGCTCACTCTTATTAGCACACACTGTAGATGTATGTACATTCATTTTACTGGTTTGGGGAAGAGGGGATTCCACTGGTGGGCAAGGGGTTTCGAGTTTTTCGAACCGTGACTGGGGGCTTGTGGTTGCAAACGCTAAGAAAATGCTATGCTTTAAGACTTAAGTGACATTTGTAATATTTTTTTCAGTTCATGAATGAAGTAAAAAAAGTCAATGCAGGATGTATATAAAGCATACAATAAATAAACGAAATCTATACGTCAAGTAAATATTTTCAACCTCAGCCCGGACAACCAATAAATATCCTGAAACCCTAGGGTTGTTTAAGCATTAAGGAAAACGTTTATTAAAAAAGTTACTGCCCGTTTCTCCAACGAGCCCACTCTTGATAAGTAGCCATCGCCCATGATTTCTGTCTAAGAGTACATTACGGTTAAGCAGTCTTGCTTCCAAGCGCAGTGTACGGTGTTAAGTCATTAAATCATTTAAATGATAACAACAATAATCTCCCAAGTGCGAAATTATAATGTTATCACATTCAGAAATGTTAAATTTTTCTCAATTTTTCTTCTGAGTGCACCTTTGCGATATAATGTGAAATCTATCTATCATTCAATAGATTGTGTATTCAGTAAAAAAACTTGAATTATGCCATTTTTCTCGTGCATTTTTTGGCCTACACTAAGGCCATATAGATTAAATTTGGATATCCCTATGTAATTCTCGGAGAAAAAAAAAAACCGTTATACATGTTAAAATCTTCACCTTAACCAGAGAAAACTACCTGTGGTCTAAGTCAGATAGATCGCTTCGTACCAGTTGGATGTGAGATTTATCAACTCGCTTCGCTCGTTGATAAATCTCACATCCAACTAGTACTCATGATCTATCCTATACATAAGAATAAGTCTGTTTGTGTAATAATGTAGACAGGAAGTTTAAAAATCTTTAATGTCATTATATTTACTGGTAAGTTTTTTTTGTGGTTACAAGTAAACAATTTTTTAAAATAAACAAGTATTTTGTTATATACTGTACTACATATAAAAAAGCTATCTTGATAAGGCACATTATGCCTCAAAAATGACTTTTGAAAACGTTCTTCTTTCTTTAGAAAGGGCAGACTGTAAAATCATAGTTTTATTCCATGTTTCTTGTTTATAACCTAAGAAAAAAGTGCTGAACATAAATTATAGTTGTTTGTCATTAAAGTAACAAAATATAAACAAAGAAGTATTTTGACTTCAGAAATATAACTAAAAAGCAATAGAAGCAGATATATGGTATTAGACCAATGAGCAAATCTTTTGAAACTATAACAGGACACTTTAAAGAAAAAGAAGCTTTTGAGGAATAAAAATAAAATAATTTCTTAGGCAATAGGGGCCTTTAAGACTTTAAGACTATTTTTAATATATTTTGAGGAGTTTTGTGTATCATTTGTATACTGCTTGCAGCCTGTCGTACTTTTTATATGCCTGAAAGAATTTCAGGCATATGTTATACCCCCTGGCGTCTGTCCGTCCGTCCGTTAGCAATTTGGTTTCCGGAGCATAACTTAAGTTCCATTTGGCCCACAATATTCAAACTTCATAGGATGATTGTCCATATTGGGTAGAAGACCCCTAATGATTTTTGGGTCACAAGGTCAAAGATCAAGGTCACAATTACCTTAAAACTGAAAACAGTTTCCAGAACATAACTCAAGTTCTATTTGGCCCACAGTGTTCAAACTTCATAGGATGGATGTCCATATTGGGTAGAAGACCCCTATTGATTTTGGGGTCACAAGGTCTAAGGTCAAGGTCACTATTACTTTAAAACTGAAAACAGTTTCCGGAGCATAACTTAAGTTCCATTTGGCCCACGATATTCAAACTTCATAGAATGATTGTCCATATTAAGTAGAAGACCATTATTGATTTTGAGGTCAAAGGTCAAGGTCACTTTTACCTTTAAATTGAAAACAGTTTCCGGAGCATACTTTAAGTTCCATCTTGGCCCACAGTATTCAAACTTCATAGTATGATTGACTAATTGGTAGAAGACCCATACTTTATTTTTGGGGTCACAAGGGTCAAAGGTCAAGGTTACTATTTACTTTAAAACTGAAAACAGTTTTCCAAGAGCATTAACTTAAGTTTCATTTGGCCACAGTGTTCAACTTCAATAGGCATGATTGTCCATATTGGGGGAGAACAATCCTATTTTTTTGGGATCAGAAGGTCTAAGGGTCAAGGTCATTTTTAGTATTACCTTACAAAACTGAAAAACAGTTTCCGGAGCAAATTAAGTTCCATTTGACCCACAAAATATACAAAACTTCAAGGAGGATTGCTAATTTGAAGGAGGTTATACTTTATTTAAATTCTCAGTCTTACAAATTATTAATCCTTGCAAAAAAAAAAACCACACACTAACACCTTTCGGGCATATAATGCTCGGCCTAGAGGTGCTCTTCTTATTGAATATTTTTGAGCATTTATAAATTTACAATTTGTTGTATTGCATTTGGTAGCTATTAGCAACTGTCATAATATATGTCGTTATTATTAATTAAATTATTATCAATTATATAGTAAATACATAATAATAATAAGTCTAGTTTAATTTTTGCTTATATGCTGTCTAAAGGTGAAACTTTAAAAAGAAACTGTGATTTTATTTTTCTGTACGGTATTTCAATATAAGATTGGTTTTATGTCAAGTGTTAAATGTAACAATTTAAGTGTTTTTCTTGTGAATGCAGTCAAGTACTATCCTAAATATGAACGGAAAGGGCTGATGTATAATGTTGAGATTCAAATGTCAAACTTATAATTATCACATTGTCTAAGCTATATATATGTTTATGTTTATTGACCTGACATATATAAACATGCATATAAAACTTGGCTTATTTTATGTTGTATAAAAATTATTGTTGTTAACTCATTCTTAAACGTCATTTAATTAAAGTTAAAGTACAGTAAAATTTATATCCAATGAATACAATATTCTACCATTACACTAAATTTATTTATGTGTATGTTGTTTATGTAAAGTTAAAATGACATACTCATTTTTTTCATTGTCGAGTTGAGATGTCAATTAGTGATATATTTCATAGATGATATTTGTTTGTTTTGCCATGTAAGATTGAAATATAATTTCACTGAGTGAACACCAGATGGCAATATTTTTAACGAAGTTGGCGTAAGCCACGAGTGAAAATAAATAGGCTGAGGGGTTTCACGAAATGAAATATTATTTCAAATCTTATATATAAAACAAAATAAATTTTCTTTTTATTTTTTAATGCTTTTATTTTGATTTTAAGTTAATTTTTACAAGATTTTCCCGCGTAATCGGTCGCGGCATTCTCCTTTGTGTCGTCAATTTATAGTTCTTGTTAAATTTCTCTAATTTTTGTTAAATTTTTAAAAATGGGATGTATGATGGACATTGACTTTCTTGTTTCCTAAAGAAGCAACATTTTACGCATGACGGCATTTATTTCTGCTGTTATTCCATTTAGTCTTTTGATTTTTCTTTTCATCCGCATTTCAGTATATAAGTCCGGCTACAGTGAAAATTATATTTTTAAATAAATTTCACTTAGTGGTTTTCAGAAAATATTGTTCCAAGGTTTGATATCAACGGGGGTTTGGCAATTTGGGGATGAGCTCCCTTTACCTACAAAAAGCCCCAAATGGTTTTTTTGCGGTTAAAATATTAGCCCTCTGTAAACCCAAGTCCAGCTCCTGGCCTGCACTGTGGCTAGTCTCTAGTCCGGCGGAATTGCTACCACTGAAGGAGAAGGGGCGGAAAGGCGGGTCATTCCTGCTGACAGGCAAACCAGGCAAGCAAAACAAATTTCGCTGGACAAAGTATTGAGGAAGTAAGCAACATCCACATAGCAGGGAAAATTGAAGAGAGGTCAGGAGGGAAGGGAGAGAGGGACCAACAGGAAAAAGCCAAGGAGAAAAGTCTTGGAGAAGGCCCTTAACCCCTTAGTGAAACTTCATGCCTGCTCTACGTCAGCTTCAAAACTAAAGAAAGTCACCAGGGTCAAATGGCATTTCACAAATGAGAGATGCTCATAACACTTGGGCTGGGCCTTGGCAACGGGCCAAACTCCTGGGAAATAATAACAATCTCACCTGGAGAGAAGGACAACTCCCACAAATATGGAGAGAGGCGAGAAACCAATGATCCCCAAATTCAATAAAGCGGGCAAGGATCGGAATAAGGCATCAAGCTATCTTAATGTGGTTCTGGAATACAACCAACTTCTGGCTAACCCAACAGGGCTGGCTTCAGGCAGTTCAGGTCAACTGAAGACCAAACCAACATACCTTGCCCCAAGGAAATTGAGGATGCTTTTCAAGAAAAGAAGGTCAACCCTAGTCACATGGATCGACCTCCAGAGGAGCATTTGACAAGATATGGACAGACGGTCTGCTGGTCAAGCTACAGAAGGAATGGCATTGGGGGGCAATGTACAAGTGGGTCAAGTCGTTTCTTCTGTTTAGAACAGAAGAAGCACGAGTCAGTACCGACGGGGTCCCCACCAGCCGAAAAGTTCCTACAGAGACCTGGTGTTCCTCAAGGTGGTGTCCTGTCGCCCCACTCTCTTTCTCATCTTCATAAATGATCTGGTGTCGATCTACCAGAAAAAAAAAAGAGGTATTAAAGCAGCCACTCTATGCAGATTGACCTTGTCCTATGGTGTTCAGAAGAAATGCACCACTGCCCACCTACAGGATGCAACAAGCTGCCGACCAGCTATCAGCATGTGCAGATGAGTGGTGTGTAAAGGTGAAATACAGATAATCATGTTACCACACTGTTTCACACTGTCACCAAAACAGAAAGCTGGGAACCATCAAAGTCAGTGGCACAACTCTTACTGAAAGTGGAAGAGGCTACCTACCCTCGGTGTGACCTTTGACAAACGGCTGACATGGAAAAGCCCCATGTAGCAGCGCAAATGCTGAAACCAAGGCCGGAAAAAAGCTAGCTATACTCCGGAACTGGCAGGCACCAACTGGGGAGCAAATGCGGAGATACTAAAGACAGTATACCAAGGCACAATTAGGCCCCATCTAGAATATGAATCCCTCAGCTTGGATAACTACGTCAAAGACAAACCAGAATGTGCTCGACAAGGTCCAAAACCAAGCCTTACGTGTTATAACAGGAGCAATGAAATCCACTCCAATCTAGGCTATGGAAAACCCTTACCACCATTCCACCACTAAGTCATAGAAGAGATTGCCAAAGCACTTGTACAAGCAGCAAATATGAGTTCCTGCAGACCACCCAATGAACCAAAAGTTACAAGGACTGACAAAGAATCGTCTGCGCAGAGATAGCTTTGTACACGAGGCAAGAAACTGAATAGAAACTTATGCTGGAAAACTTGGACCTTTTATTATACCACTTGATAAATCTGACCTGCCAAACCCATGGATAATAGAACTGTCCAACACACATATTAATACGACTGTGCCACTACTCCATCCAAGTACAAAAGATGATGTCACCAAAAAAGCACTCACACTCGCAATGATAGCTGATGAGTACCCTCAAGAGTCATGGACTCATATCTATACAGATGGCTCAGCTACAGCAGCTATAAAAGATGGGGAGCTGGCATCTACATCCAAAACATACCAATGGTAAAAGTGACACAGTTAGTGTAGCAACGGGGAAATACTGTACCAACTACAAGGCAGAGTATGAAGCCATCATGACAGCTCTGAAAGTGATTGAAGAGTCTCCAGAGGACTGCCCGCAGATCGTCATATTAACAGATGCTCTGTCGGTACTACATGCCCTAGAAAACCATCAGCTGCCTGAACTATCAGAGGTGCTATCTCGCATGTCACAAACCAGACAAATAGCACTCCAGTGGATCCCCGCACATTGCGGCATCCCTTGAAATGAAAAGGCTGATAAACTGGCAAAGCTAGGAGCTGAAGGTGATCAGCCCATGAACCACAACAGCTACAAGGAGAAGACAACAACAATCAAAGCAGCAATGAGGTGCCAGTCAAACAAGGATGACTACCACTACCTGGACAGGAAGGAGCAAGTAATTATCTTTAGGCTCCGCACAGGTCATAACAGGCTGAACGCACATATGTACAAAATAAAACTAGCTGCCTCTCCTAAGTGCTCCTGTGGCCGTGACAACCAAACAGCTGAACATCTCCTACAACGATGTCCTCTCCTGGAACAACAGAGAAGAGCGGTGTGGCCAGTGGAGACCGGGATACAAACGAAACTACACGGCACAATGGAGGAACTGCAGAAGACTGCAACCTTTATCGATGTGACCGGCCTGAGATTGTAGCGGTGAACGAGAAGAAGAAGAAGAAGATCAGAATATAATCATCTGATATATTACAATAAAACACTGGAAAGCATGAAATAAAAGAGATTCACTATCATAATAGTGATTGACCAATAATTGATCATGAAAAATGTTTAGGATAAAAAACTGCATGCCACATTTAAAAAAAATGAACATTACCAATGCATTCTGAATGATATTTTTAGAAATTTCCATGGGTCATGTGGATTATTGATTATTTTGGCATATGTTACACAATTATGGCAAACTGTAGTTATTTTGATATCTAAAATGAAACACAATTATGGCAAAATGTAGTTATTTTGACATATAAAATGAAACACAATTATGGCAAAATGTAGTTATTTTGACATATAAAATGAAACACAATTATGACAAAATGTAGTTATTTCGACATATAAAATGAAACACAATTATGGCAAAATGTAGTTATCTTTACATATAAAATGAAACACAATTATGGAAAATGTAATTATCTTGACATATAAAATGAAACATAATTATGGCAAAATGTAGTTATCTTGACATATAAAATGAAACACAATTATGGCAAAATGTAGTTATCTTGACATATAAAATGAAACACAATTATGGCAAAATGTAGTTATTTTGACATATAAAATGAAACACAATTATGGCAAAATGTAGTTATTTTGACATATAAAATGAAACACAATTATGGCAAAATGTTGTTATTTTGACATATAAAATGAAACACAATGATGGCAAAATGTAGTTATTTTGACAAATAAAAGGAAACACAATTATGACAAAATGTTGTTATTTTGATTTCACTAGCTAACGGTCTTCACCGTACCGTATTTATATACTATGACATGCAACATCAGACAACGAGGAAAAGAAAAAATGTAATTAAAGCGACTTATTAATAAAATTATAAAGTTTTGCAAGCCAGAGTTAGACTTTCGTCTGTGCACTAGCCATTTATACTTAGATGGGCATATATAGTCTCTGTAATAACTGACTTATTGTTCCAATGAATAATTTATCTATAATTCTAGTGTAAATTTAATGATTTTGATGTAATAGTTTGATTTTACCATTCCAGATTGAACACTACAGATGATGTATTCCAGGGCTGTAGCATCAATGATGCTGTTTATTCTAGTGTTTGAACAAGTTTATGCAAAAAAGGATTATAAATACTACAAGATCTCTCATGGACCTATGAAACACGAGACAGGAAGATAGTAAGTGTTTGAAATAATCACATTACCCCAATGCTTGGCAAATATATCATTCTAGAGTAGCGGCGTGGCTGAGTGGTTAATTTGTCAGACTAATAATCTAAGGATTGCTGACTGCATGGGTCCAAACCTTGTCTGGGGAAAGCTGTTGTTTCATTGCTTAGTACTGGTTGGTTCCAGGAACGGATTAGAGAGTGTTTCAATAAGCTTATAGCTTCCAATACTGTCGAACTAAAGTAAATTTGTATAAACTAAATATATCATTTTACTCTGTCTGTTATCTGTCTGTCTGTCTGTCTGTCTGTGAAGTTCATTTTGGTCATAATGAGCAAGATTAGGTGTAACCCTCAGTTGAAGATTGCTGGCAGCCATAAAACCAGTGCAGACCAAGATCAGCCAGTGCATTTGTGGTCTGCACTGTTCACTATTCAGTTAGTAAATATTTGAAATTTTCCCTAAAAAATGATGAATGGTTTTGTCCAGATTGAAAGATGTACAAGTTCATTTGAAATATTTACATGTACCATGGCTGTCATAATATTATGGGGTAAAAACTTTTGTCAAGTACCAGAATATCTCTATTGCAAACTCAGTTTTAATTTAAGTGCAACAACTCTTTACACACCCTATAACCGGCTTGAGGGCATTAAATTCTCAACATTAAAAATAAAATTAAATGGTGGACTTGTAGTCTGATAGGGATACCTGCATTATAAGTGACCTGTTTCAGAGGGGTACAACTCTATTAAAATCTATGTCACAAGAACTATGAACAGAAAATACTTCAGATTTAATTTTAATTTAACAATTAATTTATCTATGAATGCCATTTCATATTTTTGTTTATTGGTAGTTGATACATGTTGAATAAATTTATATAATTAAAATATTATATTTTCAGCATATATCAACCATCATTTGGGGACCCCAAGTACTGTATGTACTGTCCATTAGAGGCTCTGCTAAATAGTCGTGCTGGTGTCCAGCAACCAAAGTGTCTAGAGAAATACCAAGGAAAAAACATTGCTGAAGAGATTTTACCCCAGGAGAATGCAAATTCAAAGTATCCATTGTGTGACAAAGGACAGATTCCTGGTGAGTCACTTTGATATAATTATAATTCTTATATAAGACCAGTGTCAAAGTGGTTAGATTTACTTAACTGAATTGTTTCCCCTCTGTAGATTTGAACTCTACCTCAGAGATATGATGAATTAAGCTAGCCTGAACCATCCATAGTGGCACAGCAGGCTCTATACTGTCTGCTTACTTCAACTTTTCATAATGGACAGTTTGAAAACAGATGCTAGACAAGTCCATTTAAGTAATTAAACAACTTAAAGTAAATTGTTGTTTTTAAATGAATCTCATTAGGTAGATTATTTAATTACTTTTACACAGGGTGTGGACCACCACCAGAAGTAAACAAGACGAAAAACCATGAGTGGGTCTGCGATCCGGGTTACAGTAATGTTTATTACTCAGTGTATTTTAAGTGTGCTCTTGCTTGTAATTTTACTGACTGTTTGGACTGGCAGTTTTACTGCAATGAGTCGCTCCAGTGGGAGGTACTGCCAGCATTGGTGTGGCAAAAGTGTGAAGGTATGTGAAAAGATAATTTATTTTGCATAAATGTTACCTGTAAAAAAATGTTAGTATTTAGTGAATTATCATAGAGAACAGTTTTTATCTTGGATATTAATTCGGCTTTTTAAAAAATAGTAGGGCTATCCTACACATCTGGGCGTCTGCTTGTGTTTTTGGCGTAACACTCACTGCTAAAGTTTTGCGAGCAACCTAATATCTCATCATTAACCACTAATGATATTTGTTGGCACATTTATTTGAGAGCATTATAGGAGAACAGTATCTAAGGCCCCTTCTAAGATACTGAAGCTATTCACTTAAAACTTCATACATCACTTTCTGATCATAGCTAGAGGTAACTTTCCAAGACCCATAACTCTGACTTGTATTTTGAATGAAATTAGGTTCGTTATAAACTTAACAAAATTTCTTGGTCTTTATCCAAAACTCATAACTACATGTATGTCATGTACATTATTTGTATCTGTATAGTAGTACAAAAAATCATAATGGCTGCAGCTGTTTCGTAAACATGTTGTCTTTGTAAAGAAATAATGTTGGAAGGATTTAAATGTACACTTAACAAATCTTATAAGTGTGCACCTTTTATGTCCTTATAACTTTTTCGTTTATCAATATATTTTTACAAAATTTTGTGTTCTGACTATTGGCTGCTTTTCCACACTTTTCCCGTGCTCAAGCATGCCAATTTTAATTATGAGGTGCAATCAACCATGAACGAACGAAATTAACACAATGCACGAAAAAAATGATAGAATGGGTGAAATAAAATTGCACAAGATATTCTCGGATACGATAGAGATCGACATATCAGAAAAACATAACATGGGTAGATTATCTATACAACAGCGTGGTATAGCCCTAGGATTGGTCAACGCTGGTGTACACCAAACAGAGGTTGGTAACAAAATTTATTTGTTTAAATAATTATATTAATTCATTTGCATTGGAAAAGCCGAAAATCATTTAAATTCAGTTTCTACCTAAGACGAATATAAAATTTATATTTTTTTTATTTAGTAATAACTTGTCTGTATCATTTGTAGGTTGCGCCTCGCATGGGTGTACACCGAAACTATAAGAAGGCTAATCATTAAGTACAGAGCAACTTCGTTGGTAACCTTCCTCACCAACCCCAAAATTATCTACAATGGTATGTAAGATCGATGTGACGACGCTGCCGGGCTGAAATACAAAGTCAGGGTGGGCACACGCGGTATAAGGACATCATTTTGCAACATCGACTTTCGACACGCATTCAAATTTTTTAGAATTACATCTTAAATTTGTATCTTGAATAAAAAATACTGAATAAAAATGATAACATGTCTCTTTTCTGTATTTATTGAAAATTTCAGCATGATCGGACAAATATTGATACACCTATGAAACCATTTATACATGCACACTTATAAGATTTGTTAAGTGTATGATGACTTAAAGCAGCAGCATGCCTCCAGGTTCATCATTATTTTCAAGAAAATTTGAAAATATATTTAAAAGTAAAATATTGTCAAGTGAACAAAGAAAGTCATTTACAGACTGCAAACAGCACTTTAAATCCATGTAATTTACCAAAAAGAGGTTAAAATATTCTGAAAGAGCCCTTACTGTGTTAGTAACATAGTAGAAATATTGTGTTAAATACTGCAAAATCAGTCATTAATCACATATAACATGTAAATTATTTCTTGAATCTTGAATCTTTTTACTTTTCTTAAACTCTTAATTCATTTTTCTCAATTTTGATTTTCCCTAAAATATTTTGGTTTATCTGGAGGCATGCAGCAGTAAAAAAGTAATATATGCAGCTTCTCTCTGCTTATTGACATCCTACTCAACATAACACAAAAGTCAAATTTTTAAACTGTGTATGCCATTGGCATAGGTTAATGCCCTGCAAAATTAAAAAAAAAATTTCATAATAAAACAAGGTATTATGAACTTCAAGTCAAGTGATTGCAGCCTCTGATATTTATTTAGTTGTAAGGGGGGGGGGGTATACTGGAATAAGCTCGCATGGAGGTTAGTCATGATTAGTAGATGACCCCTATTGATTTTGAGGTCACCAGGTTGAAGGTCAAGGTCACAGGGGCCTTGACTTCAAAAAGCTTGTCCGCCCAATAACTTAAAATTCCTTTGACCTACAGTCTTCATAGTTGGCATGGAGGTTGATCATTGGTTTGAGGTCACTGGGTCAAAGGTCACAGGGACCTTGACAAAAATAAACTTTTCCCCTCAATTGCTTAAGAATGCCTGTCCGCAGTGTATTGATTTTGACATTTTCACATTTGAAGCATGTAGAATACATAACTTAGCAATGCACTGGCTTAGTAACCTCAGAATTGGCAGGGAAGTTGTCATCGAGCTCTAAATGGCCACTGTTGATTCTGACAAAGTGGTATGCGGGGATATTCACGCCATGACAGTGGCAGTTCTGGTTCAATCAGGGAATAAACGTTGGTACATTGTTCTAGAGTGGTAGGTTTATATGGGTTTGTGTGTCAGTTGGGGTGTGACATGCATTCCGTTAAGTGCTAGATTTTGCCTGTGCAACTGTCTTTTACAAATGTGAAAAAGTTTGTAACAAAGTAATTGTTTTGAAGTTTATGAAGAGTAAACAAAAACTGACTGAAACTTTAGTTACCATTTGAAGTTAAACACAAAAAGAAATATTATTTACAAGTTTTCCAATTGAAATACGAGGAGCATTCAATATTTAGTGACGGGCCTCATTTTTCTCTAAGTATATTTCGTGAATCACGTGCAAAGTTACATTATGATACGCTTCAACTCTTTATCTTTCCAACGGTGTATCATACATGTATCCTAATTCACACACGTTTTAAGAAATTTAGTGTTGAAAGTTGAATATTCGATCAACTGCGTATAAAAATGGCTGGAAAAGATTCAGTAAATAATGTTGAAATTCGAGCTTACATCAAAGCGCGTATGACATTTGGGTTAAGTGGTGCAGCCATTCATAAAGAGCTTTGTCGTATTTATGGACCATCTGTGGTTAGTGAAAGGACAGTTCAAAGATGGATTGTTAAGTTTAAAAGTGGAACGGAGTCACTAAACGATGCTAGTGGTAGGGGAAGAAAACACACAGTGGTCACCAAAAACAACATTAAAAAAGTGCAAGAACTCATTTACAAAGAAGCTCGATATACAGTTTCTGAAATAGCTAAGTATACTGGCATTTCAACGGGAAGTACATTTACGATTTTAAAGAAGCACCTCAAAGTTAAGAAGATTGCAGCCAGATGGATACCACATTTATTGACTGAAAAGCAAAAGCAAGAGCGTGTAAAATGTGCCAAGAAATTATTGAAGATGTTTCCCAAATATAACGATCGTAAATTTTCTAACATTGTAACTGGAGACGAAAGCTGGTTCCACTTTTTTGAGCCTACACGGAAGGTAAATAATAAGATATGGGCCACCAAACATACCCGTAGGCCCTGTATAGCTAAAAGAATGACTAGCACAAAGAAGGTTATGTATGCCATGTTCTTTGGTATACATGGCGTAGTGACACAAGTTCCTATTCCAAAAGGTCGTACCGTAACTGCAAAGTTTTACAAACGAATAGTGTTAAACAAAGTTGACAAATATTATCGCAAACGTCGTCCAAACACTGGTATGAGAGGTCTGTATCTACTCCATGACAACGCTACTCCACACAAGGCCGACATTGTTATGACATTCTTGGAGAGCAAACGTGTTTCTGTGCTTAATCACCCACCATACTCGCCAGATTTGGCACCCTGCGATTTCTTCCTGTTTCCAAGATTAAAGAAACACCTTCAGGGTCGCCGTTACAGCACCAGAAATGGACTTGGATCAGCATTACATCAGTTGTGTAGGGGTATACCTCAAGAAGACTATAAAAAAGCATTTCAAAATTGGATCAAACGTTTGAAACTCTGTATATTGTTCAAAGGAGATTACTTTGAAGGTTTAAAAAAATAAAAATGATTGTTGCTTTAAAAGTTTTCATTTTACTATAGCCCCGACACTAATTATTGAATACTCCTCGTATATACATTATCTACACAACAGGAAAATAAATATATAGAGGATATTCAAGTTTTTCTATAAATATATGATTTATTTTCATCGAGTGGTATGAAAATAAATATTTCATGAGTGGCGGTAGCCACGAGTGAAATATGGTAATTTTCATGCCACAAGATGAAAATAAATCATGTAATTATAGAAAAAACTTGAATTTTCTGTTTATTATATACATTTTTCACTTTTTTGCGATAAAATTTGAAAGACTTTCCCTTAAATTTTGTGTACTGGCAGAATTTAAAAGAAAGTAGTCCGGCAAGACACCAGTGAAAATACGGAAAATATGTTTCACTGCAGTGAAAAATAAATTTTTACAGTGAAAATACGTAAAATCAAAATACGCATTTTATTTCATCAATATTTCTCAATATTTCATTTATAAGTATATAATAAATAATGTTTTTGTGAAAGCAATGTAAAATGAAATTGTTTATGTTAAAAGATACTGAATTGGTGTCATGAATGACGTCTTTATATTGTTTTTGTTTTTTTTCCAGCCCCTGTAATCATTGAACCTGAAATCATTGAACCTGAAAGTAAGTATTATTATTGTATTAACTATATTTTGTCATGATGATCATTATTTAAAACGTATTTATTTTAGCTCAAATGTGAAAAAAAGTTCTTGCAATTTGTATTTATTACTTATAGCACCCTAAGCACCTACAACAGTATTATTTGCCTTAGTTTTAGAATGCCTTCTGTACACCACAACATTAATAATTATACCCCCGCACAACAAAGTTGTAAGGGGAGTATACTGGAATCAGCTTGTCCGTCCGGCCGTCCGTCGGTTTTTTCTTGTCCGCCCAATAACTTAAGATTCCTTTGACCCACAGTCTTCATATTTGGCATGCAGGTTAGTCATGGTTAGTAGATGACCCCTATTGATTTTGAGGTCACCAGGTCAAAGGTCAAGGTCACAGGGGCCTTGACATCAAAAAGCTTGTCCGCCCAATAACTTAAGATTCCTTTGACCCACAGTCTTAATATTTGGCATGGAGGTTAGTCATGATAAGTAGATGACACCTATTAATTTTGAGGTCACCAGGTCAAAGGTTAAGGTCACAGGGGCCTTGATTTCAAAAAGCTTGTCCGCCCAATAACTTAAGATTCCTTTGACCCACAGTCTTTATATTTGGCATTGAGGTTAGTCATGATTAGTAGATGAACCATTTTGATTTTGAGGTCACCCGGTCAAAGGTCAAGGTCACAGGGGCCTTGACTTCAAAAAGCTTGTCCGCCCAATAACTTAAGATTCCTTTGACCCACAGTCTTCATATTTGGCATGGAGGTTAGTCATGATTAGTAGATGACTTCTTTTGATTTTGAGGTAACCAGGCCAAAGGTCAAGGTCACAGGGGACTTGACTTCAAATAGTTTGTCCGCACAATAACTTAAGATTCCTATGACCTACAGTCTTCATATTTAGCATGGAGGTTAGTCATGATTAGTAAATGACCCCTATCGATTTTGAGGTCACCAGGTCAAAGGCCAAGGTCACAGGAGCCTTGAATTCAAAAAGCTTGTCCGCCCAATAACTTAAGATTCCTATGACCGATAGTCTTCATATTTGGCATGGACGTTAGTCATGATTAGTAGATAACCCCTATTGATTTTGAAGTCACTGGGTCAAAGGTCAAGGTCACAGGGGGCTTGACATCAAAAAAGCTTTTCCGCCCAATAACTTAAGATTCCTATGACCCACAGTCTTCATATTTGGCATGGAGGTTAGTCATGATTAGTAGATGACCCCTATCGATTTTGAGGTCACCGGGTCAAAGGTCAAGGTCACAGGGGCCTTGACTTCAAAAAGCTTGTCCGCCCAATAACTTAAGATTCCTTTGACCCACAGTCTTCATACTTGGCATGGAGGTTAGTCATGATTAGTAGATGACCCCTATTGATTTTGAGGTCACCGGGTCAAAGGTCAAGGTTGCAGGGGCCTTGACTTCAAAAAGCTTGTCCGCCCAATAACTTAAGGTTCCTATGACCCAAAGTCTTCATATTTGGCATGGAGGTTAGTCATGATTGGTAGATGATCCGTATTGATTTTGAGATCACTGGGTCAAAGGTCAAGGTCACAGGGACCTTGTCAAAATAAAGCTTTTCCCCTCAATTGCTTCAGAATGCCTGTCCAGAGTGTATTGATTTTGACATTTTCACATTTGAAGCATGTAGAATACATAACTTAGCAATGCACTGGCTTATGGCTTAGTAACCTCAGATTTGGCAGGGAGGTTGTCCTTGAGTTCTAAATGGCCACTGTTGGTTCTGACAAAGTGGTATGCGGGGGTATTCACGCCATGATAGTGGCAGTTCTAGTTCAGTATGAATTGACATATTGCTAAAAAAAACCTTATATTTTAACATTTTTTATACGCCTGTTTAAAAACGGGTTGTTTTACAGTTTTCCCCCTTTGCGGGCAGTCGTTCGGGCTGCAGCGTCCAATTTTTGTAAGGAGCAATTATCTCCTATAAACATGAAGGAATTTTAATGAAACTTCATAGAAGTGTTCACCACTGAGAAACTGTGTCAAGCATATGAGTCAGGTCTCTAGGTCAAAGGTCAAGGTCACAAAATAGAGGTCATAAAAAACGCACAGAGCAAAACTTCTACATGCATAGGGGGATTTCAATATAACTGGCACAGATGTTCACCATAATGTGAGGTGGAGTGTCATAATTTAGGTCCCTGCTGCCAAGGTTAAGGTCATACATAGGGGTTAAAGTTCAGATAAAAATACAAAAATGTGTATTCTGACCATTTAGTCATCCTTTATTGAAGGATTGAAACACAAATGGTCATTATCATAACTACTGGTGTTAAACATGTAATTTAGGTTAATAAATGCCAAGGTCACAACACTTCTACATACATAGAGGGATCTCAATAAACTTGGCACAAATGTCCACCATTGCGAGGCTTATTGCTCACATAATCCAGGTCCGAAATACCAAAGTCAAGGTTTCATAGAGAGGTCAAAGTTTGTGTACAGGGACCATTTAGTCATCATTTATGAATTGTAACACAAATGATAACTGCCATGACTACAAATGTGACACATGTAATTTAGGTTAATATTTTTAAGGTCAAGGTCAGTATAGATGATAAAATCTCCAGATATTTTCCGGATATTGCCCAGCACGAATCTTCTTTTTGAACATCTATAATTCCCATATCTCTGTCAAATGCTTTTGTGACAGGCCTATTTTGTAACAATGTTACCCTTGTTATATTTAGAGAATGGATATCTTAGATTAATAACAGACGGTTTCATATTTAATCTTTTACAATACCCTGCAAAACTTAGATTTATTTTGCCTTTAATAAGGGTCATTTGCACACCTGTGTATTATACATTCATTGTGTATCACAGTATGACCTATCTGGACATCTATTTTGCAGGGAGGAGTAAATCATTAGATTTTCTAAGTGAGAGTCTTTATGTCCATTCCTGAGAATTACTTTTATATTATGAAACATTATATGAAATACAATGATTTTTAGATCATTTTAGCTCGGCTATTCGAAGAATATGAGAGCTATTGTAGTTGCCCCGGCATCGGCGTCCATGTCGGCGTCTGCGTTGGTTAAAGTTTTTTGTAAAGTCAAATATCTCAATTATTGTTTGAGATATTCAATTGAAACTTACAATACTTTTTTATAGTAACAATGTACATCAGATTGACAAGTTGGATAACTCTGCCTACAATATTTAAAGAATAATGCCCCTTTTTAACTTAAAAATTTTGGTTAAAGTTTTTTTTGTAAAGTCAAATATCTCAATTATTGCTTGAGATATTCAATTGAAATTTACAATACTTTTTTATAGTAACAATGTACATCAGGTTTTAAAATTGCATAACACTGCCTGCAATATTTGCAGAATTATTTGCCCATTTGAAACTTAGAAATTTTGGTTAAAGATTAAAGGTCTTCAAAAATATTTACTTGAAACTTTATACATGTACTTAGGGTCATAATTGGAGGGTCATAATTGTATGTCACTGACCAGGTTCCATAACTCTATCTTGCATTTAGGCTGATTCATCTCCCCTTTTCTTCTTAGTCTCTTGGTTAATGTTTACATGCAAGTTTTACATATCTCAATAACTATTAAAGATATTTATCTAAAACTTCACATATGAATTATAGTCATAATTGTAGGTCACTGACCAAGATCTATAATTCTTTCTTACATTTAGGCTGATTTTTTCCCCTTTTTCAACTTAGAAATTCATGGTAAAGTTTTGCTTGTAAGCTGTTATCTCCATAACTACTGAAGGGTTTGTGCCTTTTTTGGGACAATTTTATGCATTCATAAAGCAGTGATTACCTTGATAAAACATCTTAATAACAAGCCTTTGCACCTTTTCGGTCAATTTTATGTATTCATAGGTTATTAGCATTATTATGCTCAATAAAACACCCTTGTGACAACTTTTCGAATAGTAGAGCCAATACTGTCCTACAACAGTTCTTGTTATTTTTCACTATATATTTGGCTTGTACTCCGACAGTTCTTGTTATATTTTATGTAATTCGTTTCTTTTGATATTTCAGTTTATTGGTTGTCAAAATATAATATTATTTAAACATTTTTTTGTATTTCTCAGGTATTGTTAAGCTTGTCATCATGGTAGCTGTAATTGTTGGATCGGTTGTAATTGCAATACTTGCATATTTTTCCTGCCTATGTTATAAAAAAGTTAAAAGAGCCAGATCTAGGGAAGATAGTATGTAGAACAATTTGTTTATTCAATTTCATTATAACTTTTAAATTTTTGAGAGCACCTGTAACAAATAGTATGATGTTTATACATTGTAAAGTACAATATGGAATTCAATTGTACTAGTACACAGCTGTCAAAACTATATTGGATGATGCAATAGCCAAGTCTGATATAGGTTTTGAGGTTGTGTAGGAGTCTAAAGGAACCAGTATTGTTGCCAATCATGTTTAAAGACCTCTTTAATTCACACGAACATTTTTTGACATTTTACTTCAATTACAGTAAAAATTTGATAGAGGTTTCGGAGTCTGAAAGTGAAAATGAGGCTAGATGGAAAATAATGTGCATTTGATAAAGATATTTTTGACGCTAAATTATGAGCTATATGTGGTGTGATATGGATTTAACATGAACTTTTGGACTCCGGAAATGAAAACGAGGCTTAATGGATAAGACTTGATCCGATACTGATTTCGGATTTTCGGATGTTTGAACATCACACGGTGCAAATGATAGAGTGCATTTGTTATGTTCTAGAAAGTGTGAAATAAATGTTATTAATATACATAAACTACCGTACATACTGTTTGGTCTTAGAAGTTAAAGTAGGAATATAGAGAAATTTAGTAATATTAAGTGCAGAAAATATAATGATTTTCATTTTAACGCCATTTTGTAGGAATTTCCCCTTTTCCATTGAACCATGTGTGTTTAAGTACTATTAGTTTTTACTTAAATAAAGATAAAAGATCCAAGCATTGTTTCCTTTATTACATTTTGGTTATACCTTTTCTTTTTTTTTAGTGGCGATGACTGAAATGAAAGAAATGAAAGCAGAGAGAGGTATGTCTTGGGTTATATTAATGATAAAATTACAAGTCTCAATTTTTACCTCATTTGAGCATTACCAAATATGACCAGAAATAATTTATTGGTCACATGTTAATTCAGAATATAGGTTTACCATTAATGTATGTGAAATAACTCCACTTGGTTTAGAATTAAATCACATATTTATGTAAATTTGCTCATGCCATAATTACAATTGGCTCCATTTAGGGGTCAACAGAGCTAAAAATAAAAAAACCTTTAAAACATCTTCTTCTACTAAATTAAATGATGGATAATCACCAAAATTTGTCTGTAGCATTTTTAGGCAGTCTTGTATTAAATTTACTCATTTTTATTTGATTGGCCCCTTTTAGGAGTCTTTTGAGCTAGAAAAAGAAAAACGTTTAGACATCTTGTTCTACAGAACTAATTGATGGATGATCACCAAACTTTGTCTGTAGCGTTCTTAGGAAGTGTTTTATCAATTTTGCTCATATTAATGTGATTGGCCTCTTTTAGGGGCTGCTAAAGCTAAAAATAAAACTACCTTTTAATGTCTCCTTGTACATTACTAATTGATAGATGATCACCAAATTTTGTTTATTTGTTTGTTTGTTTCATTTTACGCCTTTTCTCAACAATATTTCAGTCATATAGGCGTGTAGTTTCCTAACCAAATTTTGTCTGTAGCATACTTAGGTAGTCTTTTATCAAGTTTGCTCATATTAATTTGATTGGCCCCTTTAAGGGGCAGCTAAAGCTAAAAATAGAAAAACATTTGAACACCATCTCGTACTAAAATAATTGATGGATAATCACCAGACTTTGTCTGTAGCATTCTTAGTGGCCCTATTGTTTATTATGAAGAAAAGAAGAAAAAAACAATCAGTCTTGTGGAAGTATATTACTAGAGGGGCAAGTTAAAGTTGCCCAAAGAGCGGAACTTGCCTTTCAGCAAGTTCATTTGAAAAATTATTTCCAAGACTGAAAAGCAGTTGTTTCTGGTGAGCAACTCAGGGCCATCATATTAAGGAGTTAACCCCTACAACTGCAATAAGGTGACAATGCATAAGAGGTCAATTGTTTTCTCTATAATTATCAAAGATATGAGGTCATTGGGGTCATAGTTACTAAGATAAAGAAATGATGTTACAGTCTTCATTTTGTCAGAAAGTTATAAGTAAACTTGGGCATTAATACGTGTAATTATCCAAATAAGCAGGAAAAAGGCCATAATGTACCTCTAATTATTCGTTTGAATGTAGTATGGAATATATTTTCAGGATATTAATGAAATTCCATTTATTACATGCTTTTCGCTGGTTTATAGAAATATATCAGTGATATTAAACTGGTAATTTCACTGTTTGAAACAGTGAAATTACCACTTTGGTAATTTCACTGTTTTGAATTTAAGCCCCTTACATTGTTTCGATGAAATACCAGCATGCACAGTACTGGTACCAACTTAATGATGTGACGTTGCAAATGACGACGCATTGTATTATTATTTGGCGCGCTTTTAATTCAGTATTAGGTTTAATGTCTTTTTAAAATGTTTCAATGCATATAATAAAAAGAAAATTTGTTTAGTTTAGTGTAAGATCGAAATATATTTTACCTTGTGGCTGCGCCACTCGTGAAATATACCTCTTGGTGCTCACTTGGTGAAATATATTCCGATCTTACACTGAACTAAACTAATATCCTCTATATATTTTCACAAGCCAGTAAAGCAAGTCAAAATATATCGAGTTTTATCATGTTGAGTGAAAATGTTTTCCATATTTCTTGACCAAAATAATACCTTTTTATTAATTTGCCATCAAGAAAAAAACACAAAACTGTTTAGGAAAATCCTAATTAAATTCTAATTTAACAGGATGCAGTAATTGCTTATTTGTCAGCAGAAAATATAATGATTTTCATTTTAACTCCATTTTGGAGGAATTTCCCCAATTTCATTTCAACCACTTATCTATTGTTCTATGATTATAATACATGTAGTTTTAAAACAAATTTGAGTCATTTACATGTGTTTTAAAGTACTGCTAGCTTTTACTCAAGTAAAAATCCAAACATTGTTTCTTATATAGTATTTTGTTGTTTTTTATTTGCAGTCGGGTTAAATGATGTAAGACTTGATATCAATGAAGTGAATGAACAGACAGGTAAGTCTTGTGTTATATTAATTATAAAATTACGAGTCTCATCTTTAACCTCATGATATATTTGCCTGAATATTAAATATGACCAGAAATAATTTTTAGTGCCATTTTGGTTCACCACAGGGGACTTATTAGGTTTGCCATCAATAACTTTACTTGGTTAAGACTTAAGTCACATTTTTATGAAAATCCATGTTATTGGGCAATATTCTGTGTGCCACTTTAGCGCAGTTATGGGTTAGATGGCATTGAATTATAAACTATGGAGTTAACACTTTACTGCATTAAATTGATGATGTATAAGTCAATTGTTTTCACTATAATATCATGAAAGGTCATTGGGGTCAAAGTCACTAAGATAAATAAATAATGTTAACGCCTAATTTGTCATAAAGTTATAAGTAAACTTGTGCATTAATATACAGTCGACTCTCGTTATCTCGAAGTCATTGGGACCGTTCAAAAAATATCGAGATAACGAAATGTCGAGATAAACATATTAGGGTTAGAACAAGGCGAAACTGATTTTTACAAAAGACATGTGCATACCTTATGTCAAATAAACTATAATATCCCCATGTCTCGTTTTCATAGGCCTAGTCAATATTTAACAAAGTAACATAAGCGGATGTTTACCAGCGGAAATACGGGTGTCTGTGATAAAAACACATAGTGAAGTTTACTCAGTAATACACCAATTTAGTGAATCGGATATCGGATATGGTTGATCCGGATATCCTCCCGGGTTATTTATCCGGTCTTTCTCGAGATTGTTCCACCGCTGATTGATTTGGTGGTGATGTTGTGAAACAATATTGCAACGATAGCGTTTCTATACTTTCACTTTTTCATTTACATTTAAAGTCATAATGAATTGAATTGAATTGAATGTAAAATTCACTCATTGTGGACATAAGTCAATCAACACGCTAAATAGATTAACTTTTATAAAGACAGCTAAACTTGTTACAAACATAATCGTCATTATGACACGCGCTATTAATTGAGCAATTATCGTCTAGATTGTGTTTTTCACACGTCTGAAGGGAACAGACGAAGTCGAGATAAACAAAGGATAATAGTGTGAAAATAACTGTTGGGGCTGAAATTTTACATCGAAATACTGAAAATATCGAAATAGAAATATCGAGATAAACAAATATTTCCAATATAGATAAAGAAGGAAGAAAATCGGGACTTTCAAAATTTCATCGAGATGACGAAATATCGAGAAAAGCGATGTCGAGATAACGATAGTTGACTGTACTTGTTATTATCCAGATGAGCAGTAAAAGGGCCATAATACCCTCTTTAAAAAAACAACAAAAAAAACAAAACAAAAAAAAACAAGAAAATAAACAAACAATAATATTTAGGAAAATTCAGTGATGAGGATAGGGTTATTGTCCCCCTGCCTTTTCGAAGAAAAAAGTGGGATATAGAAAAAGGCTCTGTCCGTCTGTCTGTCCGTATGTCTGTCTGTCCGCACTACTGAACAGGGATAGAGGGCCATCTAACTGTAAACAGAACAAAAGCGATGTCGAGATAACGATAGTTGACTGTACTTGTAATTATCCAGATGAGCAGTAAAAGGGCCATAATACCCTCTTTAAAAAAACAACAAAAAAAACAAAACCAAAACAAAAAAAACAAGAAAATAAACAAACAATAATATTTAGGAAAATTCAGTGATGAGGATAGGGTTATTGTCCCTCCGCCTTTCCGAAGAAAAAAGTGGGATATAGAAATAAGGTTCCATCTGTCTGTCTGTCCGTATGTCTGTCTGTCCGTACGAACCCAGAGGTACTTGTGTGACTTGGAGAACAATGGGTTACAGTAAATTCTCTTTGATCCTATTCATTCTGTTTTTACTTGTGTGTCTTTTTAGCTCACCTGTCACAAAGTGACATGGTGAGCTTTTGTGATCGCTTTTCGTCCGGCGTTCGTCTGTCCGTAAACTTTTACTTTAAACGACATCTCCTGATAAACAGCTGAGCCAATTTCATCCAAACTTCACAGGAATGTTCCTTTGGTAGTCAACTTTAAAAATTGTTCAAAGAATTTAATTCCAAGCAAAACTCTGGTTGCCATGGCAACCAAAAGTAAAAACTTAAAATATCTTCTTTTAGAAAACAGAAAGAGCTAGAGCTTAAATATTTGGCATGAAACATCATCTAGTCAGTGTCTACCAAGTTTGTTCAAATAAATGCCCCGGGGTCAAAATTGGCCCCGCCCCGGGGGTCATTGATTTTCCTTATTTGTATATAGTAAAAACTTAAAAAATCTTCTTTTAAAAAGCTCAAATAGCTAGAGCTTAGATATTAAGCATGAAACATCTTCTAGTAGATGTCTACAAAGTTTGTTCAAATAAAAGCCCTGGGGTAAAAATTGACCCCGCCGCAGGGGGTCATTGTTTTTCCCTTTATGTATATAGTAAAAACCTTAAAAAATCATCTTTTAAAAAACCCTAAGAGTTAGAGCTAAGATATTTAGCATGAAACATCTTCTAATAGGTGCCTACCACTTTTGTTCAAATAAGGGCCCTGGGGTAAAAATTGGCCCCGCCCCTGGGATCATTGATTTTCCTTATATGTATATAGTAAAAACTTAAAAAAATCTTCTTTTAAAAAGCCCAAATAGCTGGAGCTTATATATAAAGCCTGAAACATCTTCTAGTGATTGACTACCAAGTTTGTTTAAATAAAAGCTCTTGGGACAAAATTGGCCCCGCCCAGAGGGGGGGGGGTTATTGTTTTTCCCTATATGTGTATTGTAAAAACTTAAAAAAATTCTTACAGCTAGAGCTTAGATATTTATCATGAAACATCTTCAAATGGGTGTCTACCAACTTTGTTCAAATAAAAGCCCCTGGGTTAAAATTGGCCCCGCACCGGGGCCTATATACAGGTGAGCGATTTCATGGCCCTCTTGTTAGCTCGACTATTCGATAAGAATAAGTAGAGCTATTGTAGTCACCCGAGCGTCGGCGTCAGCGTCTGCCACTTATGTTAAAGTTTTTATAATAGTTCAAATATTTTCAAAGTCCATTGACATATGGCTTTGAAACTTTGCACACTTGTTCATCATCATGACCCCAACCTGTAGACAGGAGACGGTAACTGTATCAAGCATTTTGACAGAATTATGCCCCTTTTTCAACTTAGAATTTACGTTAAAGTTTTTGTAATAGTTCAAATATTTTCAAAGTCCATTGACATATGGCTTTGAAACTTTGCACACTTGTTCACCATCATGACCCCAACCTGTAGACAGGAGGAGGTAATTCTATCAAGCATTTTGACAGAATTATGCCCCTTTTTAGCTCGACTATTCGATAAGAATAAGTAGAGCTATTGCAGTCACCCGAGCGTCGGCGTCCACGTCGGCGTCGGCGTAACCACTTATGTTAAAGTTTTTGTAATAGTTCAAAAAATTTCAAAGTCCATTGACATATGGCTTTGAAACTTTGCACACTTGTTCACCATCATGACCCCAACCTGTAGACAGGAGGAGGTAACTCTATCAAGCATTTTGACAGAATTATGCCCCTTTTTCGACTTAGAATTTATGTTAAAGTTTTTGTAATAGTTCAAATATTTTCAAAGTCCATAGACATATGGCTTTGAAACTTTGCACACTTGTTCACCATCATGACCCCAACCTGTAGACAGGAGGAGGTAACTTTATCAAGCATTTTGACAGAATTATGCCCCTTTTTCGACTTAGAATTTACGTTAAAGTTTTTGTAATAGTTCAAATATTTTCAAAGTCCATAGACATATGGCTTTGAAACTTTGCACACTTGTTCACCATCATGACCCCAACCTGTAGACAGGAGGAGGTAACTCTATCAAGCATTTTGACAGAATTATGCCCCTTTTTCGACTTAGAATTTATGTTAAAGTTTTTGTAATAGTTCAAATATTTTCAAAGTCCATAGACGTATGGCTTTGAAACTTTGCACACTTGTTCACCATCATGACCCCAACCTGTAGACAGGAGGAGGAAACTGTATCAAGCATTTTGAAAGAATTATGCCCCTTTTTCGACTTAGAATTTACGTTGAAGTTTTTGTATTACGGCTTTGAAACTTTGCACACTTGTTCACTATCATGACTTCAACCTGTAGACAGAAGGTGGTAACTATTTTAAGCATTTTTACAGAATTATGCCCCTTTTTCGACTTAGAATTTATGTTAAAGTTTTTGTAATACTTCAAATATTTTCAAAGTCCATTGACATATGGCTTTGAAACTTTGCACACTTGTTCACCATCATCATGACCCCAACCTGTAGACAGGAGGAGGTAACTCTATCAAGCATTTTGACAGAATTATGCCCCTTTTTCGACTTAGAATTTACGTTAAAGTTTTTGTAATAGTTCAAATATTTTCAAAGTCCATAGACATATGGCTTTGAAACTTTGCACACTTGTTCACCATCATGACCCCAACCTGTAGACAGGAGGAGGTAACTCTATCAAGCATTTTGACAGAATTATGCCCCTTTTTCGACTTAGAATTTACGTTAAAGTTTTTGTAATAGTTCAAATATTTTCAAAGTCCATAGACATATGGCTTTGAAACTTTGCACACTTGTTCACCATCATGACCCCAACCTGTAGACTGGAGGAAGTAACTCTATCAAGCATTTTGACAGAATTATGCCCCTTTTTCGACTTAGAATTTACGTTAAAATTTTTGTAATAGTTCAAATATTTTCAAAGTCCATAGACATATGGCTTTGAAACTTTGCACACTTGTTCACCATCATGACCCCAACCTGTAGACAGGAGGAGGTAACTCTTTTAAGCATTTTGACAGAATTATGCCCCTTTTTTCGACTTAGAATTTACGTTAAAGTTTTTGTAATAGTTCAAATATTTTCAAAGTCCATTGATATATGGCTTTGAAACTTTGCACACTTGTTCACCATCATGACCATAACCTGTAAACAGGAGGAGATAACTGTATCAGGCATTTTTTTACTATCAAGCACGAAGAATAGTCGAGTGTTGCTGTCCTACCGACAGCTCTTGTTCGACTTAGAATTTACGTTAAAGTTTTTGTAATAGTTCAAATATTTTCAAAGTCCATTGACATATGGCTTTGAAACTTTGCACACTTGTTCACCATCATGACCCCAACCTGTAAACAGGAGGAGGTAACTGTATCAAGCATTTTTTTTTACTTTCAAGCACTAAGAATAGTCGAGCGTTGCTGTCCTACCCACAGCTCTTGTTTAAGCCTTGTGTGACTAAAAATGGCCAAAAAGATCAAAGGAAAAGTCACATAAGTACCATTTTGTGAGTACTGTCCATCCGTCACATTTTTGTGTCCGGTCCATAACTTTGTCATTTATCAAAGGAATCTGAAATAACTTGGCACAAATGTTTGTTATAATAAGACAATGTGTCATGCACAACAACCAGACCCCTACCTCCAGGGTCAAGGTCGCACTTGCTCATTCAAGGTCAACATTGTCTATTTGAGGGTATATGTCGTGTCCAGTCCATAACTTATCTTTGATGGGATTTTGTAAATACTTGCACAATTGTTCACAATAATGAGACGATGTGTCATTCGCAACAACCAGTCACCTACTTTCAAGGTCAAGGTTACACTTGGAGGTCAAAGATTAACATAGTCTGTTACATTGTATTTTTTATGTCCGGTCCATGACTTTTTCAAAGATCAAAGGATTTTGTAAATACTTGCCACAAATAGTCACTATAATAAGACGATGTGTCATGCGCAACACCTGCATCCCTACCTCCAAGTTCAAGGTCAGACTTAGAGGTCAAAAGTTAACAGAGTCTTAGGGTATATTTTGTGTCTGATGTAGAACTTCTTCGGGATTTGGAAACTATGCACAAATAGTCATAATAATTAGACGATATGTCAAGTACAACACCTGCACCCCTACCTCCAAGGTCAAGGTCACACTTAGAGGTCAAAGGTTAACAGAGTCTGTAATATGGTATATTTTGTGTCCTGTCCATAACTTCTTCAAAGATCAAGGGATTTTGAAAATACTTGGCACAAATAGTCACAATGATAAGATGATATGTCATGAGTAACACATGTGTCCCTACCTCCAAGGTCAGGGCCATACATAGAGGTCAAAGATTTACCTAGTCTTATATAGGATATATGTTGTGTCCAGTCCATCACTTTTTCATAGATCAAGGGATTTTAAAAATACAATAATAAGACGATATATCAGGTGCAAAGCATGGGTCCCTACCTCCAAGGTCAAAGATTAACATAGTCTGTTATAGGGTATATTTTTTGTCCGATCTATAACGTCTAAGGTCAAAGATTAACATAGTCTGTTATAGGGTATATTTTTTGTCCGATCTATAACGTCTATATAGTTCAAGGGATTTTAAAAATACTTGGCATAAATAGTTACAATTATAAGACAATATGTCATGCACAAGACCTTCACCCCTACCTCCAAGGTCAAGGTCACACTTAAAGGTCAAAGCTTAACATGATAGATTTTTAAATTCCATTTTCATTTTATTTCTTTAATAAATTTTTTGTTGCATTTGCAGATCTAGCATTGATCATAATTTTGGACTGATAGTCCTCAATCTTTTGAAATAGCACAATTTTATGCTTCATATAAAACTACCCCGAGGCGGGGGACGTTGGTAACTCTGTTACAAATTCTTGTTATAATTAGACTTAGTGTTTTGATTATTTTCATGTTTTGCAAATTCAAATATAAACAATACACAACAACATGCAGGGTTTTCAGTGTTTGAAAGACCATAGCTTAAAGAAATGTAATGCATGATTACTTTGTGCTGAACTGAAAGCTGTGTTAGATAAAGATAAGTTTGTAAAATTTAATTCTTAGCCTGCTGACAGCAACTGTATCTACCTATATCTATGTTACCAGTGCAGACCAAGATCAGCTGTCACTTCTGTATAGTCGGATCATGATCTGCACTGTTTGCTATTCAGTTTGTAGATATTTTTAAAATATTGCTAAAACAGATGAAAGATCTTGTTCAGATTGAATAATAAACTGGTCTTAATTATTGTATGGTGAATGTCGGGCGGCAGGCGGGCAGGGAAAAACTTTTCGTAACAGTTTTCTCAGCAACTAGTTATCACAGCCTCTTGATATTTGGCATACAGCATTGATACCTGGTCCCATACTGTGGGATTTGATTTCAGGTCTGTTGCTTATCCAATTCCTGTTTACTGACTTAGTTTAATTTTCGACATTAATGGTCAATGGTAGGAAATTTTCGTAACCGTTTTCTCAGCAACTACTTATCAAAGCCTCTTGATATTTGGCTTACAGCATTGATACGTGGTCCCATACTGTGGGATTCTATTTCAGGTCTGTTGCTTATCCACTTCCTGTTTACAGACTTAGTTAAAATTTTCGACATTAGCGGTCAATGGTAGGAAATTTTCATAACAGTTTTCTCAGCAACTACTTATCACAGCCTCTTGATATTTGGCATACAGCATTAATACGTGGTCCCTTACCGTGGGATTCTATTTTAGGTCTATTGCTTATCCACATCCTTTTTACCGACTTTAAGTTAAATTTTCGACATAGATGATCAGTGGCAAATTTTTTTCGTAAAATCACAGAATCATGATATTTGGTATACAAATGCAAAGCGGCCTTTTCTGTCTTTGACCCATTTTTTTCATATTTAGAAATTGAGAGTTAATTAATGGTGCACCTCAGCAGTATTTTCCCTATTTTTCTATTTTTAGAAGTAAAACATCTTGTTAGTGAGCCTGTTGAACCAGAAAGTGATTTGGAAGATGGCAGTCAGTCAGGTAGTAAATCTGCTAGTAGAGCTGAAAGCTTATCTGGTTCTAGAAGAAACTTAGACAGTGAAGATCGTAAAGACGATTCAGATGATGAAACAAGCAAATTGATCCCGCCAGATCCTTCAGGTAATATTGAAAACATTGATTCACAGCAGATGTTATAGCCAGCAGCACCCCCCATACTTCTTCTTCTTTTTCTGTTGTTCACTTGTAGTCATATTGTTGTTACATGGTGTTGATGTTTGTAAAGAGAATGCCAATGGCCCAGCACCTCTGATTTCAACTTTGTAGGTGTTCTGTTGGGGGTTACCTTACCCATAGCCTTTGCTGATCCAACGACAAACCACAAGGCAGTGATCCAGTAGTGGGAGGTCAGTTGATGGGCACCAAAGGAGGCTGACCACCGCCCCTGCCTGGTTATCCCACCTAACATTTGTCGCCCCCTCTGTAAAATCTGTGCGCAACAGGGAGCACGGTCTCCATCTTTTTACTGAGGACACAATATCATAGTAGGGGCCATATGCAGAGTCTTAGTAGACCTAGCTCCGTAATCTGTGTCTGGCATGACAGAGGCTTACTGGACTCACCCCTTGACCTTAAGTTGCGCATACCATGCCTTGCATGACCTGGACGTCCAGCTAAAGACCTCACGGCTCCCCAACACCATACTTAATGCATACTCTTAGCATCTTTTAATATACCACAAGATTCTTCTGACAAATTTGTCTTAGAAGTTTAAAGGATGTGTCCTTTATGCAATTTGGATTGGTCAGTGTTAAACCTACATGCCTTTAAATCAGCAAAATATTGCAAGAAAATTAGACTTGAGAAAAATGCCCTAAGATTTTAATAAAAGTAAAAAAGGTTCAATATTTAAGTATTTTCAAGTGTGTGCATTTAATGAATGATAGATATTGAAGTATTTATTACCGTATTTCTACTGCGTGTATAATGCAGTAAGGGCTATTTTTGCATATTTCAATTTTTGTTTGGTAAGTTATGTGTATTGTGATGTATAAAAATAAGTTTCTATTGTTCCCTGTACAATATTTTTACTTTTGAATAAATTTTCAAATTTTCATGAAAATTAGCATGGATCTGGAGATATGTTGCTTTAAATTCTGTTGTTGTTGTTTTCAGTCAAACCTACTGTAAGCATCATACAATTTGAGGGTGGAGAAAGAAAAAAGAGCATACCCTGGCAAGGAGACATATACTCAATAGGACGAGGTTTGCTTAAACAGTGTTATTTGTATGAAAATATGTAAGAAATTTGGTAAACCAATGAAAAATAGTGTAACAATTCTCTTACTGACTTTTAAATGCCTATTGGAATAGTTTAGTTTATACAAATTTATTTTACAATAGTTTGATTGCATTGGAAGCTATAAGCTTATTGAAGCACTCTCGAATCTGTTCCTGGGACCAACCAGTACTAAGCAATTAATGTAAAGTTTCTTACTAAGAAATAATGGTCTTTGAAATAAGCACCTTATTGCCAGTTGTTGGTATAATATATAGGGAGTCAAGATTATAATGGAGGATTTTCTAGATATTGTTGATGTATAGCAACACAATATTTAATATATTGTTGTTTAAGCATAATTCTATTTTATATAGAACCTTTGTCACTGTAATAACATGTCAAAGTCACAAATGTCATTTTGATACTCTGCTGAAAGACAAATTTAATTATCAGCTCATTTGTTTCGAAGAGAAAGTCAAGCTACTATGCAAAAACTTTAATGCAGCCCACTATTCAAACATTTTAAAAGGTATCAACATGAAACTTGAAATTACTTTATGTAGGAATTTTAGAGCTTTTATGTTTTGTTGATGGTAGTCTTATACTTTCAGGGTCAGATTTTCAAATTATACCGAGCTCTACTGGAGCTTATGAAGTTACAAAGTTTATGATAGAAGGAAAAGATAATAGTTGTATTAGATGGGAGAAATATATCCACTCGTACACTGTAAATAATGCCTCTGATAGGGATGCAGGACTTTATATGTGGAAAATGATGCTAAACAACAAGTATAAACATTGTGGAAGCTTTGAAATAAGCATAGCTTTGCCAGGTATGATGCTGTTTATAATTAGTGTTCAATTATCAAATTGTTGTGTCGCCTCTACAGAGTAGACATGTAGGGATCACTTCTCCGTATTGTGTCTGTCTGTCCGTACAAATGTACAGATACTTAGGGGAACAATAGGTTACAGTAAATTTCCTTTGATGCTATTCATTCAGTAAGCTCTTAGTGGCTATTTCTTCTCAGAACAAAAGAGTAGACACTTAGATTTCAAACTTTGAGCACATTTGTCTTTGCTTGAACTCATCATCCAGTCCGACGCAAAATTCCTATAAAATGTATATACTGTTCTACTTCGGATCGCTCGAACTCTTAAACATGATCTCTGGTCCCTTTGGCAGAAATATAGTGAAAATCACACCTTTTCAGAGGAACACAAAAAGACAACAAAAGTGGCTTGGTGACATATCTGAATTAGTGACAGTCAGCCTCACTTGCTGATGTAATTGTTTTTCAGTTCGACAAAGTTGAATTATCTTTTTACAATTAATAAAAGTTATAGATCTATTTTCCAATTGAAACAATGAAATTATTAAATTTATTTTCCAGGTCAAATGATAAGTTTCCAATTCAACAAAAAAGTTACAGAATTTTTTTTTTTATTAATTGCAGCAGTCAGACCTCCGCCAATAGGGAAGGAGGCTAGCAACAAGAATACCGGTAGTTTGAATACAGTAAATCCAGTTTATAATCAACCCCAGCAACCATCGAGTACCTCTCACTTGAAGTTTGACTCTATCCTCAACAATCCAAATGACCAGGATGTTATAGAGGATAATGAATTGTTGCCACAAGGAAATTTAGTAAGAGGAGAAGTTGTTAAAGAAACAAGAGGTGATGCTGACCCTTTCAGACATGCAGCTGATTTAAGCTCAGAAATGTTCAGAGATCAGTCGCACCGTAACACAATAGATTCTGGTGTACAATCTTCTAATGGGCATCGCAGTAGTAGATCAAGTAATATAGCATCTGATAGGGCCGTTAGTCAACGCAACAACTCTAATGACAATACTAGAGATGGTGATTTAAGGTACAGCACCAGTGGTTATCAGTCACAGACTAGCGCCAGTTTGGCTAGAGAACAATTTAGAGCTATTTTTGATGATGCTCCTGAATTAAGTATTGGATCATTAAATAAAAAGTCAAGAGAACTATCAACGGGTCTTGATATACAGGCTTTGCATGAAAGAGGATATCTGAATCCTTCTGAAGATAGAAATGAAGATACTGGAGCCAGGGGAGGTGAATATACTAGTACCAGGGCAGGTGAATATACACGTGCCAGGGCAAATCAAGATACTGGTGCCATGGCAGATGAATATGCTGGTGCCAGGGCAGGTGAATATACACGTGTCAGGGCAGATGAAGATACTGGTGCCATGGCAGATCAAGATGCTGGTGCAAGGGCAGGTGAATATACTGGTGCCAGGGTAGATCAAGATAATGGTGCCAGAATAAGACCTGATCCAGCAGGAAGTGTTTCAACTATGAACCACAGTGAAGGAAGTGGTTCTATACAGGAGACCTTTAGAAAACAGTTATATGTACCTGATAGTAAGTAGCTAACATAATTATATTAAGTAATGCAGAAAGTAAGATTTTTGTATTTTTTAAAAGAATTCTTCTTAGCTGGTCTTCTACAAATGTTATTTTACAGGTTTCAGTCTGATACATAAGTAGGTCACAGGAGCTAAAAATAGACTTGCAAAAAATGAAGACTTTAAAAAAATCCTATTTGAATCTACAAAGACTGAAGTTAGATATTTGGCATATGGCATCATATTTCTTAAACTACATTTGAGCCGTGCCATGACAAAACGAACATAATGCGTTTGCGACCAGCATGGATCCAGACCAGCCTGCGCAACGGCGCAGTCTGATCAGGATTCATGCTGTTCGCCTACAAACCCTATTACAAGTAGAGAAACTGATAGCGAACAGCGTGGATCCTGATCAGACTGCGCGGATACGCAGGCTGATCTGGATCCATGCTGGTCTCAAACGCATTATGTTGGTTTTGTCATGGCGCGGCTCAAAATGTTTATGCTTCTCTGTTTTTCAGAAAGAGTCAAACTATCATGATTGCTGCGGCATCATTGTTGTTTTACTTGTTGTTGTTCAAATACTTTAATGTTGCCAATTATTCAAAAATTAAAAAAGTAATTACTATTAAACTTACACAACTTGTTTATCATGACAAGGTGCAGTTATTTGACAAGGGGCCAATATTCTAAAAAGCAAATATTTTTTTGGGGAGTTAATGCCCCCCCCCCTTTCCCTTAAGATTTTGCCCAAAAACGGGTTTGCACTTAACAAAAACCCATTAACACTGCGGGCCCCCGGGGTCTTTTTTAAATATGTTTTTTAGTTTGAATATTTTTATAAAAAATTTTTTTAAAAACAATTCGGGAAAGCCAGTTTTTGTAAATAGAATTGGGTCAATTTTCAGCAGGAAATCAGAAGGAAGGGGTATTGGGGAACCATCATCCATTTTTTTTGCTTGTAAATAAATAAATATTGCTCAGGGATATTGCCTTTTTTTGGAATTAATTTTGGGATGTTTGATGGTGGGACCAAGGTAAAAAATTCCAAAAAAGGCTAAATAGCTTTGGGCTTTTACAAAGAAAAGGCTTTAACCCTCATTTTATTCTCCTGAAGTGTTTTTGAAAAAAAATCAAAGTTTTTTATTTTTTCTGGGCAACAAGATGTGCTTACGAAAACAGAAAATCTACCCAAGGACCCAAAGGGGGAAATATTTTAAATCTACGGGCTAAATATACACCCCGTTTTTTAAATGGGATTACAACCTGATAGGATCATAAAATTTTTAAAAATGAAACCATAAAAAATATATCAACTTTCTTAAGCTTTTATTTTTTTAGTTTATAATTTTGAATTGATATTCTTAAATTACATGCTATAAACATAGTGTTACTTTTAAAAGACTCAGCTGAGTTTTTTTGACATGACAGGACTGGAAATACTATTTGAGGTTAATGTTCTATTTTAAGAAGGTCTAGACCAATAACTTGTTTGCAAAATTTCAGATCATTCGCTCACTCTTTTTCCAGAATAATTATTCTAAATGGGAAAATGATCCAAAAAGACCAAAAAAATATGATTTTCATTTCATTACTGAATATACTTTTTATCTTTTGCATATATTTCTGTTTTAAGTGCCCCAGTGGATCTTTGTTAGAAATTTTAATTTTAGGTTTTAGGGTTTTTTCCTCAGTGGAGTTCCTGTAAATAATGCTAACTACATGTGATACGAAGATGTTTTGAACTTTTGTCTGAGTGTTCTATTGTATGTCTTTGATAATACATATGTTGATTTTAAAATTTTATTTCTTTTTTTCTAGATGATATTCTTGGAGATGGCCGTGTGTATGGCGTTGAAGGAGATTTAGAACATACATATCCAGAGGGAGAAATCCAACACTTACCTTATAGACATGATAGTGTTCTAGAAAATGATCTGGAACATCACATTGATGACCATTCTGATAGTTAACATGGAACTAAAAAGTAGTGAATAACTTTGTGTTTTCTTGATGAGAATTTACCAGTTCATCACAACTTTATGGTGTAATACCTTATTAAAAAAGTTTTGGAAATGTGAATGATATGGTGTCAAAGATTTCAGAATCACGTGTTTTTATCGCATGTGTCAGGCACATGATATCCGTGATGAACTGCCGAGGCTGGGATTCGAACTCAGGTAGGAGTAGTATCCTAGACTACTGAGCCAAAGATTCCATCCCCTAACGCAGTTGTAAGAAGCTGTACTTGTCCGGAATTGATAACGTTCATATTAAAACGTGTTATATAACATGAATTTCCGCGCTTACATTAATGTCCGTCTCCGAAAAAAAAAAAAAAAAAAAAAAAAAAAAAAAAAAAAAAAAAAAAAAAAAAAAAAATAAAAAAAAAAAAAAAAAAAAAAAAAAAAAAAAAAAAAAAAATATTATATTGTTTTTGGTATTCATTCTAATATAATTAAACACCATCATGAGAAAATGACCCTTAACATCATTTTACAAATGATGTTAAAAGACGTTAGCATTGTCATTGACGTTAAGAATAAAAAAAAGTGAATTGCCCTTGAAATGTTTAAGATAAATATTAATAGTTAACAATGAGCAAATTGCAAAATTGTTTCTATTTATCTCAAGAGCTATAGAATTGAACTTCTTTAAGAATTCAATACGTACATTAAAAAAAGTTAAGTGACGTCAAGGACTGTTTTAGGTTCCCACAGTACTCGTATTTATGAACGTAGGTGTGTGTGTGCACGCAACTGTCACAAGAGACATGATTCTTGACGGCAGAATTTCAAGTCAATAATGTTAGTTGAAGCAATAAACTTCATGTTTTATTGAATTATGTCAATGATATTACAGGATAATATAGGGATCAGATCAGTATGGGAATCGGTGATCTTATTTCTTGATGCTGAGCTCTGTTTTTATTTGTTGATCTGATGTATAAATTGTATATACTTTACTTTGATGTAAATGAAGTTTCAAATTGGTCACATATATTGTATTTTTAGCTCGACTTTTCTATGAAAAGGGGAGCTATCCTACTCGCCCCGGCGTCGGCGTCGGCGTCGGCGTTGGCGTCACACCTTGGTTAAGTTTTTCGTACCACCCCACTTTATTTCAGAAGTATTACAAGTATGGCTTTGAAACTTACCATACTTGTTCACCATCATAACCTCCATCTACAGACAAGAGTACATAACTCTGTCAAGGTTTTTGACAGAATTATGGCCCTTTTTTGACTTAGAAAGTGAATTGAGCTTGGTTAAGTTTTTTGTACCACCTCACTTTATTTCAAAACCATTGGAGGTATTGCTTTGAAACTGACCATACTTGTTTACCATCACGACCTTCATCAACAGACAAGAGGACATAACTCTGTCAAGGTTTTTGACAGAATTATGCCCCTTTTTGACTTAGAAAATACATTGAATATGGGTAAAATCCACTTATTGCCTTAACCCTTTGAGATATTGCTTTGAAACTTTTAATGCTATTTCACATCATTACCCCCATCTGTACGCAAGAGAAGGTAACTCTGTCAAGGATTTGTTTTAAAAATTAAGGCCTTTTATCGACTTAGAATCTTGGTTAAGTTTTTAGTACCAGTCCACTTTTTGACTGAACTGTTTGAGATATTAATTTGAAAGTTGGAATACTTGTTTACAATCATGATTCCCAAACATTTCCAGGAGAAGGTAATTCTGTCAAAGATTTTATTTGAATTATGGCCCTTAACTGTCAATGTTTTGTATTATAGGCAAGCACTAAAAAACTTAAAAAATCTAAAAAAATTCATTCCTATCCACTTGTTCACTTTACCATAAATTATGTCATATAAACATTGCTGTAATATTCAAGGGTATCAAACAACTAGTTATTTTTCTCTTTTTGTACTTGAAATTAAAATCAGTAGTATATGCATATTTCACATTTTATCTCGCCTATTTGATTGGTGGACAAGTGACCAGCTACGGACAGAACACATACAGAGATTCTTGTATTGCCTTTTACTGCAAAAACTTTTTTTATTGGCAAGCAATAAAAAAAGTCGAGCGCGCTGTCTTACGGACAGCTCTTGTTACTGCTGTATTGGCTATGACCTTAAATTATTTTGTTAAGATTTTTTGTTCATGATTAATTATGAATACATGTATTTATAAAATGAAAATTTCATGTGATTTAATTGATAGATTAATTTTCATTTAGGTTGTATGTTTGCACCAAAAAAAAAAAAAAGAAAATTAAAAAAAAAAAAAAAAAAAAAAAAAAAAAAAAAAAAAAAAAAAAAAAAAAAAAAAAAAAAAAAAAAAAAATTTGTTGCAATCAAATTAGAAAGATATAGCTTATTAAGTATCTTAGAAAATTTTAAAATATATACGCCTATAAACATAAATTTAAAAGAATAACATATAATATGACAATCTCTTTTTATTGGAAATAGATTGTAAATTCAAAATACAGTGTAGCAGTAACTTTTTGGTTTGATTTTATCACTGCATGCTTGGTAATGTTTTAAAAATCATAGTTTAATGTTTAACCATACAGTTTGTGAAACTTCTCACCTTATATCATTATCATAACATTTACATTAAGAATTTTAACTGAACAACTTGTTGAATTTTTTTATCACATGATCTTTATGTTTAATGATAAAAAGTTTAATTTGACAGTAAAAAGGCCTATTATGCCCTTCAAATGCTTTCATGTTTTAACTTTATTTCTCAGAAGCTATATAATTTTTGATGTCCTGTTATATAGTTTTAAAACAGTTACTCATTACTTGTTTTTTGGCAACTCAGTACAGTAGTGATTTTCTATGGAAGTCAAAATACTACTTTGTTTTAATTTTGCTACTTTTATGTCAAATTATTTTAAATTAAGTGCTATTATCTTCATTTGACAAGCACCTAACATGCTCATAAACCATTATTTATACATAATAAAAATCATGTTTTTCTGTTATAAAGAAAAGAAAAATGTGTGAATTTCTTATGCATAATGTGCCTTAAAATGAATTATTTCTCATATTTTTCTTATAAATTATTGTACATTTTATTTTCATATACATGTACATGTAAGATTTTTAACATTCATTAAATGTCATTATATACATTACAAACATACTAAATTTGTTTACATAAAATTTTTTTCAAAAGTTTTATATATATGTTGTTGTTGTTGTTTTCTGTGCACGAAGCTTGATCATGTTATCAGTCTTAAAATATTTAATTTTTCATGACATCTCTGCCCTGTCCCAGTTTACAATTATATTTTCACTGTAACAAATCTTACTCTATGTAACATATATAAATTCTTAAAGTAATTTTGCAAGGGTGAATGAATCTATAAAATATTATTATTTCAATTTCATTAAATGTCAGGTTGAATATCACCCAGGGTTGAATATCATTTAAGTTTGAATGTCACTCCGGGTAGTTGCAATTGGGTTAAAATAGACCAAATACCCAACACCCTGGGGTCAAGGTCATTGTTACTAAAAATGGTTTTGTATAATATGATTGGTATAATTTATCTAATACCATGTAGTACATAGTTTGATGTGATTGTGGGTATGATGGTAGGGATGAAATGTCACCAAAAGTGTGAATATCACAAAATAATGAATATCAAAAAACGGTGAATATCAGTTTTAGTCACAGTTCTTGACCATATAATCAACAGATTACATTTTCACAATAAGGGGAAAATATGTTTACTCCCAAATACAATATGCATTTCCTAGCCAAACATTTCTGACTTCTCTTTCTTTTTTAACATTCAATGGTTAAAGTAAGCATCGGTACCATATATTTTACATGAAAATATCACCATTGTGAAACATAAATTATACATAAGAATCAGCAATGAGAATACTGCCATGGTTTATTTTTATTATACCCCCACAAATAAAGTTAAGAGGTAACTAGGAGTCCGCTTGTTGGCCCGTTGGTCTGTCCACTTCATGGTTTCCAGACTGTAACTAGAGTTTTGAAGTAGATATTGTAATCAAACTTGGTGTATAGCAAGCTTTTGTGGAAACCCCAGTTGGTATTGCTTTTAGACCCCTGGGGTCAAAGTCACTTCCTCAATATAGAATCAAAGCACAGAAGGCGCTGAATTTGTTTCGGTCTCAGAATGTCAGAAAGGTGAAGGTTGTGAGTTTATAAAACAATTTGTTTTTGTATAGTGCCACCAATGCTTTCCAGCGTTTTAATTGTAGTAGATTGGCTATAAGACTTTAAACAATTTGAAAAAAATGTGTTGCCTTAATTGGGATTTGAACTCCAGACCTCTCGCTTCCTAAGCGAGCGCGCAACCCCTCGGCCACGGTGGATTTACATGTTCACGGCCAGAAGAAAACCATATTATTCTAGTTAGGGTTTGTAATGACGCTAACTGTTGTTTAACACTTGTGTAAATAATCATGGCGCTTACTATAAGCATGTATATCTATAAAGAATAAAACAATATTAGAAATCTTCGACCATTCGGGAATTATTTTGCTTGAAAATCAATCCGCCTGTCGTGTGACCATATTTACGCAGTGATCTCCCTAAATTTTTTCGGCCTAAGTGTTACATCTAAAGGGAAGTAACCGCTTCAAAAAAGCGGACTACTTTCGGCACTTGCAATTAACAGCATTAGAGTCTAAAATTTCGCTACCATTATTTGTTTGGTCTGACGACCCAAACAAATTAAAATGGTTTTGGACAATAAAAAGAGTTCGAAATGAGATACTGTTATCTTGGTATATAGCCAGCTTATATGAAGACCCTGGTTGGGATTGCTTTTGACTCCCTTGGGTCAAGGTCACTGTTACTGAAAATTGGAAAATGGTTTCCAGATGATAACTCAGTTAGCAAGGAGATATTGTAATTAAACTTGTAGCAAGCTTATGTGGAGACATTGCATGTTTGGTATTGCTTTTGACCTTCATAGGTCAAGGTTAATGTCACTGTTACTAAAAATAGAAATATGGTTTCTGGATAATAAGTAGTGTTTGGAATGAGCTATTGAAATGAAACTTGGCATTTAGCAAGGTTATGAAAAGACCTAGCTTGCGATTGTTGTTGGACCTCTAGGTTCAAGGTCAATGTTACTAATAACAGAAAAATGGTTTCTGGAGGATAGACAATAAATTGTAATAATTATTGCCACTTCATTGGTACAAAGGAGGGAACCTCATAAATTATGGGTCGAGTTCAAATTTTGCTTCAGACCTTATATTTCAAAATGTTAAGGTTCCTGGTGGGAGTATGAATCACCTTTAGTTATTGTATATATAATGAACTTTCAAGGGGAAAGGTCACCGTGAGTAAGATACACATGTATATTGTACCATGGAGATAATTGTTTATATATCTGTGACTGTACAATGAAAATTTCAAGAGGAAAAACCGTGGGTAAGATTTTACATTAGAACTTGCAGGGGGAATACTGCCGTTGGTAATTTGTATTTTGCATATGGACATGCAAGGAAAATATCTGACTTCCCTCATTTTCACGGTTCGTCTACTTCACGTGCACTGTTCCTTGAATCGGTTAATTGACTTCATGTAAGGAAATTTATCGCTGAAGGTCACGGATGATATTGTACTTGAAAGTAAAGATTCATGATGTATTCAGAGTTAATTGTGAATGGGAACTTGTGAATGGTATTGATAGTAAAAATGTACTTTCAGGTTTGTTATGTTTACGCTTGAAATCATTGAATGAATAAGTGTTAATTGAACATGCATCACCGAACATTTCCTTGATTTGCCCGTGTTCGATAAATTAAAACATTAATTTACTTGAGAAAAAAAATAACGCTTTGATATTCGTATATTTATGTAACATCATTTATCAGGGGCATTTTATTGTTGGTGAGATTTATTGTTTTATTGTAAGATTAAATTGTTTATTTATTGTTTACCCGAGATAAAATGTATGACACTTTTCCATATTATTATAGTGTTATCGCGGTTTTTCGTCAAACCTTCAAAATATATCTGTGTCACTTAGTCCGTATCAATTATAAGTTCCGCGTCGATTTCAATCCCTCCCCGGATTGGTTGTCAATTTTCTTCCTAAATTGTTACGCGTCCCTTGCTTGTTTAATGTAAAGATTTAAGATAAATATTAATATTTTAAAAGATTTACCCAACCCCTGCATTGTTTAGGTATCTGTATTTTGATTACTAGAAGTAGTATCATCTTGCTTTTGTTTTTCTTTCAGAGGTTACTAGCTACATTTGTAAACATAGAAATTGTTTCAACATACAATTACTGTATTATGTCGAGCAAGTTCCTACTGATAACTGTTGATTTTTTACCCTGTCTTTTTAAACTGGGTTAAATCGAACTATTCAACCAGGAACTTGAATTTATCGCCCGGGTATAATAATACTAAGGTAAATATGTAAATAAAAATGTCGGCGGCATTAAAACGTCCTGATTGGGTATTTTGCAAGACAAAATAAATTATCAAATATTATATTGGTTGAGACACTTGTCGTAGTTTCGGGAAGTGTCGTAAAATGCGACGTTGCGTGACTCATTGACAAATCTTTGTAAATAATCTTGATTTCAAGGTCTGTCATTGTTATATACATTTTTGTACATTTTGAATTATAATAGTATGCACATGTATATCAATAATCATTATGTTTTTTTTCCTTATCCGAATATTTACTATTGTTATTGAAATAAAAACAGTAGCTACATGCCCTCAGACAAGCCAAACTGTTTCAATAAAAACATACTTGAGAAAAATGTACTAAGATTTAAAAGAGAAGTAAAAGTATTCAAGTAATAATTTACATGTTATATGCGATTAATGACTGATTTTTCAGTATTTATTTCCAGATCTCTACAGCGTGACTAACGCAGTAAGGGCTATTTTTGCATATTTTGACCTCTTTTGTTAACTAACGCGGAATATAAATGCCGTTTACAATGTATAAAGTACTTTCCTTGTTCTCTTCACAATCGTTGACTTTAAGATTCGTGTTTAAAAAATTCATGGAAGTTAGCATGAATCTGAAGGCATGCTGCTTTAATATTGAAAACTTTCCCCGTTAAAGTCTTTATTCACGTAATAACACACCTAAAATTGTCTACGAACACCGCTTTCTTCATCATTGCCTTCATTCATTGCGTTATCTGTGGACGAAGACCGCAGATGCTCCTCCGTGCATTTTTTTTCGGGCACGAGTGGA